TGCAGTCAAACGTAGTATTTGTGATTTTATTGGCCCTCTGGTGTTCGAATTGCAACTGTTTGTATGTATGTATGTATGAATAGCTGATTTTGTTGTTTTCTCTGCAACTTGCAACCAGCCGTTTTATGTAATATTAGATATGTAATCGATTAAAGTTTTTATTGCCTCGCATTTTGTGGCTGTCGAGTGGTGGAGTATTTTTTTAGACAATGCAGACATTTCAATAAATTTGCACTGCATTACAAAGTCCGAATGCACGTACTTACTTAAATGTACGAGTGTTCATAAGTTTGTGGCAGTTTATTTTTATTTTTTTATTTTTGAAATTCTGGCAATCTTTTGACATGTAGGGCATTTGAACCTCCCCTAGAAAATGTAATTTTGAACTGTCTATCACTCAGAATTTCGAAAATGTAATTATAACTTTAGTTTCAGTTGTATTTAGAATTAAAACTGCCATATGTAAACAGACTAAATGTCTATTACAACTAGCGGAAGGACATAGAACTTATTCAAAGCCTAACAGGGATCCCGGTTATTCGTGTGTTGCCTCATTTTATGCTAAGAAATAGACATCATTTTGCAAGAAACCCCACAAAGCGAGAATACTTCAATGAACAGTTAATGTCTACTATTAAATAATTTTAAGCCAATATTACTTCCTTTGGTCACAAGATGTCACTTGAAATATTCGAATGATCACTAATAACCAGGGAACGGATTTTATGCAAATTGCCTTTTTTTCTGCTAAGGAGATATACTATATTCGATTAAGAATGTCCACGATTTAGCTTTCCCTGATTCCATATAAACACATTTGATGTTGCCTTTTTTGCCTTTTTTAAGGTAATTGCCTTTTTTTTGCCTTTTTTAAGATATTTGCCTTTTCTACCTTTAAAAAAGTGATTATAGCATTTACAATTTTTTTTTTTTAAGATTAAAAAATATACACATTGCCCATGCGGCTTATAGAAGCGCAGAGACCTCTTGCCAAATTGGTGTTGGAAGCATTCAAAGCCGTTTTCTCAGCTAACGAAGGCTTGGAGACAATAAGGGGTATGGATAAAATTGTAAAGTGCGAGGAAAACGCCCTTATTCCTGATAATATGAACGTTTCAAACATTCCATATTTAAATTGGGCGCCGCTTGTATCAACTTACGTCGAGCACACATTTAGTACATTCAAGGCTTTTCTTCGCGAAAATCGAATGAAAATGCTGCCAGAAAACTTCAAAATGCATCTTGTGGTTCAATGTTACTACAACTATACAGATTAAAGCTTTATGAGTTGGAAACTAGAAAGGATAAAATAGTCAAAGATTCTAAGTACAAATTTTCTAGTTCATAGTTTTTCTCTTTTTACTTGTAATATAAACATTTCTAAAATAAATGTATTTTTTGATTGTTCTTCGTATTTTCTGTCTTTTTTTAGTGCCTTATTTTGCTTTTTTTGCAATACCTAGTGCCTTTTCGTGCCTTTTCCTGCCTTTTTCGCTATTTTGTTTTGCCTTTTTTTGGCTTTTTTGCAACACCTAGTGCCTTTTCCTGCCTTTTTCACTATTTTGTTTTGCCTTTTTCAGCCTATTTCGTTATTTTATTTTGCCTTTTTTATAGGTTTTTAGGTCCTAAAAATCCGTTCCCTGCTAATAACCAAAAAATATAAAGTAAATAAATAAAAGTAAAAAAAAAATATAAGTAAAATAAACTAAAATTAGCATTTAATAATTGTTTTATGATTTGTAGTTATTTCGCTTACAAATAATAATTATTATTGATTTAAATTTTTTCGATAACAAATAAAGATTTTTTATGATGTTTATTTTTATCGCACAGAGATAATAATTATTACTGAATTATATTTTTCCACTTAAAAATAAAGATTATTTTTTAAATTTACAAGACCGTACAGACGCACCCAACTGAAATTTTGACCTACAAATTTTGACTTTTATTTCTTTTATTAGTGTGTCGCTACCTCTGAAAATGAAATGATGGAAACTACGCAAGTACCTATAGCTTTTGAATGTTTTGAAAAAATAAAAATCATAATATAATCATTATAAGACTGCGGACTTTTATGCAAACAACAAGCCTAAAAATATACACCACATAACTATAAGCAAAATGTATAGTTTTATGATACGCATTTGTAGCCTAATTTCTTTGCATAAAGATCCTTGGTCTAACTATTATTTTTGAGCAAAAAAATAAAACTACCGTCATATCATAAAGCCTTCCTTTACAACACTAATTAATTAATTTCTTTGACATTTGCAAATTTCGGATTAGCAAAAATATAAGAAGGTCATGCAAAGCGACAAAAATTTACCCAAGACGCAGCCGGATCTTCGAATTGCCCAATCTATACATACATACATACATACATACATAAGTCACCTGAAATACAGAAAGCCTTTGCTAACAAGCCTGGTAATTCAATCATAAACAATCAAATGTAAATTTTAGAACTTTTTGTTAGCTACGGCCAAGGCATATCAAGCAGGTAGTAGCTTTAGAGCAGAGGTGGGCAACCTCGGCAGAGCATTTTGTGTGAGTGCGAACTAGTCGCCCTGCAGCAATAAGGTGGCCAATTTTCCGTAAAGGACTAGTACATCACTGGTTAAAATTTGACTGGTCAGAATTGGACATTTGCTTGCATCGAAAATGTCAGCCTTCGACCAGTCCTCAAGGAATCGGTCTAGAATATACAAATTCAGCGTACATGCCTAATTGGTTAGGTATGTATGTATGCAGAAATTTAAATGCCGGTTTGCTATTCGCGCGAAAAGCTTTTTTAAAAACGAAGTAAATTAGTACAAATTGTTAGTAATTTTCATTAGAGTTTGAATAACTGCTTTCACTAAATGGTTTGTAGTAACTTTAACGAGACCTTAACTTATTTTATTTTATTCATTTTAGTGCAGTTTTGACAAAACTTTCTTGCAAAAATATCTTTTGCTACACTACTTCATTTTATGCCTTTGATTGTACAGGTTAAATAAAAGCTTGTTTTTAAAAAATATATTTTTTACATTATTTTTTTTAGCTTTCAGGAGGGTCCGTTTTCAAATGCCGTCAGAGGCAACATGGTTATAAAATGATAAACTCTTTTTTTGTGTTCCGAATTATGAAAAAGCATCTGTGAAGTGCAGAACGCAATCTTACTCCAACGACAAAAATGGCAGTTGAAACCATTGGCCGGGGAATTATGACGGACTAGTGCTGGTAACAATAGGGACTATCTGAGGCGTAACCTAGGGTGAGTCTGAATTGCTGCAGGGCGTGCAGTTGAATGAAGCCTTTGCTGCCTTCCCAAGCAGAGCGTGCATGTATAAGAGAATACGCCGCGCAGTCGCCCGCCGGGCAGACTCTGCCCAGCTCTGCTTTAGAGCAAAACCAGCATGTATTTTGTTGTTGCTTCTGGTATCTAAAGTGTCAAAACCCGTTCTGATTTGTTTCTTCTAAATCAAAGCGTGCCACGTGAAATACAAAAAAAAAATAAGAAATAAAAAATGTAAGTTGGAAAAAATAAAAATTGTTGCAACTTTTTTTCTTAGTAAATTTGTTTGCTACTCGAAGCATTGACCCATCCTTTGCAGGGCCCAGTAATCAGCATTCCAGAGCTGCTATTCAATCGCTTGTTTTGTCTGGGAAAAGGTTTCACACGCAAATAGATTTTAACAATTTAGATTTTTTATGAGGAAAAATTAAAGATATTTGACATTTTCGAGACCAAATTCTTTGAAAAAATCAAATCAGCTGCTCTATTGGCACTACCTGTTCAATGTGCCTTGGCTATGGCCTTTTTCGTTTCTTGTGAAATATCCACAAGCGTTTTCAAAAGTATTTTCAAATGTATTTGTATTTTCAAAATACGTATTTTGTATGTAAATACTTTTGTAAAAGTATTTTGTATTTGTACATATTTCAAATACTTTTTATGCAAGGTATTTGTATTTAAATATCATTTTACAAGTATTTTTAACATCTCTGTATGTGAGTAAAATTTTTTTACGAAAAGTAAAACACGTTGATTTTTTTTTTTTTGGTTAAAAATTAATAACTGTAGGCTGAGCTGTAGGAAATATTCATACGAACAAGCAATTTGGTAACAGGGTATGCGTCTTGGTTCGAAGAAAGCGACGGGAATGATCGGAAAATTGGTTTGAAAGATTTCAAGAGCTGCTAATATCTGTTCCCGAACCCTAGGCATTGGGCTCTGATTGAAGGATTGCATTCCGTCAAATCTACTCTTGAAGAAATATCGCTGGCGAAGGATCCAGTTGAGTCCAGTTGCGATATGAAATAGTCGGCTAGGACTGTGGTGATTTCAACTAATGAAAGCAATAGCAATAGTTCTCGTATGCGTAGTATTGGAGTATTATATAGTACCGACTTAATCTTGTTTTAAACATAACTAATAATAATTAATGAAATAGTTTCTCGCTGTACTTCAGCATGAACTTCGTTTAATTCTATGACCGCAGTTAATCCATCCATAATTTTTGCATAATTTTAGATCGGCAAAGTGTTCGAAAAGGTGTGGTGTGCCCATCAAACCACAGCGGAATTTGGTCAAAGCAAGGCATTGTAACAGGTAGTACAGCAGTTGGTGTATGTATTCGTGTTTCCTTCAACCCGACGATCCTTTCTAAATCAAAAGTGTATTCATAGATGTTGGATGTACAAATAATATCGCTCCTCCTCTATGACACAAAGCGACATAGTATAATGTGTTTTTATTTTATTTTGTGGGGGTCTGGGAAATAGACGCTCGATTTTAATTATTCTTTGCAATCCCTTAAAGAAATTCTAACCTACGTTATAAAGAAGTAGCGAAACCTCCTTTCTACTACTACCGTCTCCCTACTAACAGCTCTGACTCGTCTCTAATTTTCTTGAATTTCTGCCTCCGAATTGTATTTCACTTCTTACTTTCATATAATTGTGAGCCATGCTAACTGTATTACTAGTATTTTAATATCTGGTTTCTACTTTAGATAAGAATCGCAACGCCAGTCCATCCGTTTCAAGTGATAAAAAGTCCAGTTTGGTTGATGCCGTCGATCCGGCCACCAGCAGCGGCGATGCCAAATTAAAGCCCCGATCTAGGTTAGTATATCGAATGTGTAATTTACCTGCGCTAGGCGTGATGAGTACACCACAATCAGTGCAAATTGCTAGCATACATACATACATACATTACTAGAGTTCACTCTCTGATGCGAAACTGTGTGCGTTTGAGCGAAAGTGCGAAAATTGGCAGCAAAGCAACAAAACAAATGCAAATGTTTGCCTTTTGCATTTTCGCATCAAAGAGTGAACAACTAACTGCCTTATTATTGCCTACTTTTGTTTTTTGATATTCATTTGCACTAAATTACAGGTCGCTCATACGCCGTGCATCACGCAAAACCAAACAGCAAATCAACAACGCGTCCGATGACTGTAATTTGCAATAAGGCGGCAATGAAACGCGAAGGAGGTGTTGAAAAGTCAGCGGAGAAGGCAGCGCGAAAATTCCGAGTTTTAATGTGAAAACTGAAGAAGAAGAAGAAGAAGAAGAAGAAAATAGGCAGCCGCTGAATGCGCGAAAGTGTGACTCGTATAAGTAAATATGTACTAGGTGGGCGTATGTATGTATGTGCATTCGTGCGGAGCGTATAGTATGAATGTATGTATGTATGTATGTACTTGTGGCTGCGTATGAATTCTGCATACCGTCGGTCGGTGTGAGCTCAATGAAAAGATGTGAAATTTATGTAGGAAAAATTACAAATTTTGATATTAACGCTTAATTTAGAATTATTTAAAAATAAATGCCGCAATGCCGTTAATTGACCGAAATACGGCTTTGTTAGCCCATGCAGGCATAGTTGATAGCATACTCGCACACATACGCATATTTAAGAGCATTTATATATATGTATGTATGTATAGATGCGTATTAAAATGTGTGTGTGTGTGTATACTTGAATTTTTTTTCAACAAAATGCGAACAAAAAGAGCCTGAATAGCGGAATTATTTAAGTAAATATGTATGTAGATATATAAGTAAATACATAGCAAATTTGCAAGTAAATCCAAACTATGAGAAGCAATGAACAAATAAATATTGCTAGTATTATGTAATTTTTGTAGTTTAATTGCGTGATAGTTGTTATTTAAAATAATACGAAAATGTTAAAATCAAAAGTTTTTATAAAAATTAGTATGTGATTATATACCAAAAAAAAAAACAAAACATAAAACAACAAACGGCAGCCAATTTAAGCTCACAATTTACCTCGACTGGTTTTAAATGCCACAAATACTTTATTTAATATTTATTTGAATACAAGTTGAACTACAAATGGCTTTCAATAAACACAGAAACTTATATTTTGATATAATAGTTCACTTTAAGTTCGATTACGGCTTTAGTGAGTAATCTACCGACTTTTCTGCAGGGCAGAATTTCAAAAGAAAATTTTAGTCAAGACCGAACGAATTTTTAATTGACCGGGTACAGGTTGAAGTAGGCCTAGTCGAATAATTAAAAAAGAAATGGTGTTTACAGATTTTCTAACAGCCTGAAATTCTCTGGTTAAGCAAAAAACACCATTGACCCTTCTCATCTTTGTTCGACAATGTTAAAGTTTCTGCGTCATTCCATTTGAATGGCAAGAGTTAGTTTTCGCTTGATCTCCAGGCTGGCTTATTGATTGTGTTAATACTGGCACCCTAGTTAGACAATTACACTCGGTTACGAATAAATTTCTCCTATATTTACAAATCGAATTAAATAATTGATGGAAACACCCGATTTTTCATGGCAGTAATACCCTCGGAGTTTTGCCATTGCCTACCTAGGGCCGAGCGGCTTTTTTTAGACATTTTTTTTGTTCATTCTTTTCTTTTCGATGTTAGTCGGAAACTGGGCTCGAACTCTTGCCCTGCGGAATGGTAGTGTGCACTTCTTACCACTACACCCAGCGGCCGCTGTCGTATCAATATTTTGATTACTATTTTTCTTATTTACAAACAAGCGATAATTGCATTTAATGATGCCAATATACATACATACATACATTTAATTTTACCCACGACTAAATATTTGCCCTTCAATTCGATATAAATATTAATTTTACAATAATCATGCAAATCCTCAATCCCCACTTCACAACTCCATAAATGCGCCAGAATTGGCTTATTTCTAAAATGGCGTCATGAAACAAATTTTAATAACATAAAAGTCAATGGGTGGCTTCATATGCAGTTACACACACACATAAATACTTTTATGAGCTAGTATTTGGCATATTAGGGCTGCTCTTCATTTTGGACACTGCAACAGCATTAATTTGCCTTCTTCTGCTGCATTCTTGCGACAAAATTTTTATATTTTTTTATAGAAAATTTGCGTAAAGAGTTCACTCGGTGATAAATGCGGACTTTTACAGGCGAAAGGGAAAATTGGTTACACTCTCGTACCAAAATCGAAACTTTATCTGAAAAGACACGTTGTAGATGCTTATGTATGTAAGTATATTCATTGGCATCTTTGGTACAGCCTTGAAAGTATTTCCTATCTAAACATAATTTTAAGTTTTCTTTTAGTTCTCCAATAAATCTGAAAGGATTTCAAAGAACTTATCCTTTTAATGAGCACCGAATTTGTCGATATTGAGTGAAGTCCGAATAGATTCAGCCTCCACTTTATGCCTACGACCACGCGGGTAGAGTAATCATTATATGTCCAGCTCTACCGCAAATTCTGCTTAATATTCTAGTACAGCATTTTCGCTCCAAGGAACTATGCTGCTGAAGGCAGCTTACGAGTATTGCTGTGTTGAAAGGGAGCATTCGCTTTTTGCATATGACACATATGTATTTTTAAGGATGCATTACACATTTTGCAATTTGACCACTTGCAATTTGGCATTAGTGACACTACGGATTTTCAAACCATTTTAGAGCGTTTTCCACTTAATCGAGAGTAATAACTGCACTACACTAAGATTATAATATTTGAATGCATCCGATGTACATATTTTGTGCATCCCTAATGCTCGCATATTTGCACCTTGCCTCTCCCTGCTCCCTCTGCAGCTATTCGATACTTGTTTATAGGCACTAATAAAGCCGAGCAGCTCAAGTGGGGAAATTAAACATGCAAATTCCATTGGCCGTTGAATGATAGTCGTTGTCCTTTAATGCTATTAGATGAAAAGAGGATTTCGCGCAGATAGTTGCCGATGTGGGGACTATTTATTATGGCACTTTTAATTTTGAAAATAACTGCATTAATATACGAGATGCAAACAAATAAATGCTTTCGGTTTGACGCCACATTCTCCTCTTTTCGAGGTGAATAGCTCGGTTCCTGTTGTCGACAAAATGGCGCAGATTTGCGTATTCAACTAAAAGAAGTATTTTTGGAATTTTTTAGAAGAATTTAAAATTATTTGCAAATTTTGTGATTAATTTTTGGGTTTCATACACAAGAAAACCAAATTAAACAGCAAAAAGCACTCACCGATACCAAAAGTTTGCTTATTAAAGTTATCATTCAAGTTATTTTACCTCCGAATGCAACATATATACTTAAATAGAGCCTCAATTTCTACCTGTGTATTTATGAATGTATGTATACACTTGTGTTCATATCTTTAGCAATTTCCATATAATATCCCAGTAGCCAAAGGTAATAACTAGAAAATGAGTTGGTAATAGCAAAAGTGGCGACCTGACCGCTGAACTCCTCGCTGAATTATAACAATTGTCCTAAAAATTACCAGTCCTTATGCCCAAATATATGACCTTGTGAGCACAAACAAATAAACGTACTCTTAATAATTAAAAAAAAATATATTTTTATTTACAAGAGTGTAAAGTAAATAAAAAACAAAAATAATGTGCACAAGTGCCCGGGTAAATATAGTTAATAACACAGACCGAAAAGATGTATATCAGGGACCGAACATAACAGTTATTGATGAAAACTGTCATGGAAAAATTCACTATGAAGAAAATGTTCTACAACTAAGTGAAACATACCAATCTATTTCGTTTTGCACCGAGACTCAAATTTGAAAATAAATTTTTATTTGCAATTTTTATGCAAAATTTAAAAAAATAACAATTATATTTGATTTTTATATTATAAATCCAAAATAACAATTATTTTTGATTTTTATATTATATGGCTTAGATAACAGTTATTGAAGAGTTTTATTTATAAAAGTCATCAATAAAAATCAGTCAGTGACTTTTACTTTTAAAAGTCATTAATATAAATCAGTGACCGACTTTTATTTTTTAAATCAATCGTATAAAAGTCATTAATATAAACCAGTGACCGACTTTTATTTTTTAAATCAATCGTATAAAAGTCATTAACATTTTTCGCAGTTAAGAAGGTGTTGGAAAACAAAAGTTTACTACGACTTATTCAAATGACTTTTATAAGTATGATTGAAAAAATAAAGATTAGTGACTGATTTTTATTTATGACTTTTATAAATAAAAGTCTTCGATAACTGTTATTTAAGACATATAATTTAAAAATCAAAAATAACTGTTATTTGCAGATTATTTAAATAAAAATCAAAAATAATTTATAAGATAAAAGTCAGAAATAACGGTTATTTAAAGAGTAATTAAATAAAAGTCAAAAAATAATTGTTAAAGAGTGATTTTTTTAATAAAAGTTGTAACTGTTACGGTCCCTGATGTATATTAGTATTTCTGCTTGCAAAAAAAGTAAATTTTTGCACGCTTGTGTAATTTAATTACACCATAACGCCATCCCTGAGAATTTTTTATTACGAGTACATATATCGTTCGCGACTCCATCAATTAATAATTAGTAATATTTACATAACAGAAAAAACAATACCATCGACATAGAGGCACCTATCTAATATCAAGAACCATCATCACATTTGAGTACCTCTGTTAAAAAAAAAAAATCCCCTAAAGAATTTATGGCGAATCTTTTTTTAGTGCAGTGGCGATTTTTTTTATTTTGATATTGGCGATTTTTCTTCAAAAGCTGTCAACAACCTTGTTCGCCGGAGAGCAGAGGTAACGGTTGTCAAGTAAAAAATAATTTGAGGAAAATAACAATGACGAATAGCTTTAGTGTTTCGCTTTAGAAAAAGCAAATTCCTAATTTTTATGACGAGACTCAAGAATATGTGTTGTTGATCAGTTGAGCATATTACTAAGTTAATATTCAAGTTACTTCATTCAGTGGTGAAACTTTTTGCTGGTGAGTTTTATTCTTTCTCATGCATACATACCCTGCAGGAAATGTATCGAACATAAGTTAACTTGAAGTTGATAAGGAAAGGACTAAAGGTGACTATTATCTGTGTATTTTCTTTGAGGAAAGCTAACTATATTTCTGTGGCGATGGTCGCGACATAGTCAAATGGGGTTAACTCTGCATTCGATATCAACTAACTACTTTTGAACTTAAAATATAAATAAGAATAAAAAAATTTTTGTTTACTTTTGTTATTTCATTTGTCCTGAATTCGAAGAAGTATTTGTGAAAAGCAAAAAAAAATTGTATTCAAAGTTAAATTTGTATGAGGATATTTAAATAGAAACTTGTTTAAAGAAAACAATCTCCCGATTACATCCGTATTACTCCTGCATTACTTTTCAGCGAGTTTCAAATTAGGTTTTTTGTAATTAACTACAAGTTATATAGATATTTTATAGAAATCCCGGAAAAAAGCTAACTACAAGTGGGTTATTTTTTATCAATTGATAATTTTTTCTGCGGGTATGTTTGTACGTACACACACATGCACACATACACAAAAAGTACTTCCAAACATTTGCTGTTTTCCAGCTGCAACGTGTAACGGCATTTAATAATACGGTTGAAGTTGTGGTTGTTGCCATTTTTTTGGTTGCCATGCAAATAATTAAATGTTCAACTTTTTAATTGTCTTCGAGAATTGTTTGCTCCATACACACACACACACTCATACTTCGTTTGTCTATCTCACTTTCAGTTGCCAATGTCTAGAGTAGTCTACTTTTAGGCGTAAGCCCCTTTGTACTTACACATTTACATACATACATATGTACATATGTACATATACCAGCCTACATATCGATTGTCCTCTGCAATAACGAGACAACTCAAAACTCATAATGCATGTCTCGAATCCTTGTCTAATCCTTACTAAATCTTTATGACTGCTTTATTAAGTTTTAGTAAGTATAAGACAAGGATTAGACCCACGAGGAGCCACTGTTCAGTAGTAAGAGAGCAATATGCACGCAATCAAAGGCATTTGTTTTTAGTTTTCCAAATACATAGTTGTATTGATTCCTCACTTACTGATACGCTTTTGAGCAAGAAACGAGACAGGAAGCTGTTTCTGGGTTTAAAGAAAATTACTTCCTTTGTTCTCGTTTCGGAAGTGAGAAAAAGCTCACAAGAATGTAAAAAAAAATAATAAACAGTGGTGGAAGAAATAATAGAAACTTTTTACTTTGACCAGTTTTGGCTATATTACTTTGTTCATTCGATGTTTAATATTTTTGTATAAAAGTCTAGCGCAATATATAACACACACCATTTCAAAGTAGGGCAAATTGAGAGAGCAAAATGTGATAGAGAGCTGCAAATTTCTGATGGAAAAATTTTAACTAGCGAAAATTTGCAAGTAAGAAAATCACATGATCACAAACATATCGCGCCCTAACCGCCAAAAAAGCGTAAGCGACACTTTTTCCCATTTTTTTAATTTTTTGTTTTTTTTTTATGCAGAAATGTTTCTTGATAATCTACATATATGCGGTTCTGAATCAAAAATAAAATTTTGAAAAAAATGTCGCTGTGTTTGTAAATATACAAAAAAAAAATATGGTGTTTGTTCGGAGCAGATTATCTATTTTTGTATGCGTCATCATGTGGTATCACAAATATTTTCAAGAAAAATAACTTATTCATTCGATATAATTAATTTGTATTTTAAAAAGGTTTTCCTTATCCAAAAGTATTCAATTGTATAAAATTCCAAATCGGGGGAAATGTACCAAGCAGAAAATAAATTTTTAATATTTTTATTAAGTTTGTACCACGATTGTTTATTAGGAAAAATTGAATTCAATTTTCAATTTTTCCTAATCAACAATCGTGGTACAAAGCTCAATAAAAATATTAAAAATAAAATGTTAACAAGCCACAATAACATTGACAAATACAGAAAATAAATTGCCAAATGAACCACCAGTGGGAACTTGAGGTCATCAGCTGTTTCAAAGTTTGCAAGTTTTTGCAAATTATGCGTTCTCGCACTTCTGTGGATATTTTGTCTCTTTGAGAGCGAATACTGCAAAATTCTCAGGGTTTTTGCTGCTGGATAATTGGAGTTGTTCATCACAGTCGTTACCACCTCAATGACAACCTAACTGTTCAGAGTGATAAGTGTATGGAATGGACCCAAGTTGTTTCTTTCACGCTCCTCTTTCTATTACTATACGCGGTCCTTCTATAAAATTGGTTTGAGTTATTACGTGGCCTGTTACTTTAAGAGCTTTAACTGAGAAAGCTTTAGAAGTTTCTTCGTTTAGTAAGAAATAATAAAAATTAAGAATTAATGGGATTTGGCTTATCATATCCGGTTAAATGGGAAGCTATACTTCACTCGAAAAAAGTTTATCTCAAAAAACAAATAAAAAATTTCGAAATAAATATTAGTACATATTTTTAATCAAACTGTAATTTTGTAACGAACTAAAAATTTGAAAACTTTAATCGTAGATACGGTTAAGCAGTAAAGAATTTATGTGAAATTTACTGTTATTTCTAGAACACACTCAATGCACCATTTCGAAATCTTTTGCACAAATAAAATCGAAATCTAAAAGGAAACTTTACTAAATATGTAATGCTAGCAATTTGATAACTTACATACTAGTTGTTTATAGTATATAAATTCATATTAATGTATTTGCATACAAATGTATTTATCTATGTATGTATTCATGTGCACTCAACATTTTCTTTCGAATTGAAATTAAATACTTTTCCGATGTAAAAACTTAGCTTAGCTTAGCATAATTTCTGATCTATACACCAAAACTGATTATACTTGGAAGAAAATATCTGTGTTTGAACTTGCATATATGTATGTATGTATATAAGATTCTTCATAACAATAATAAAGTGAATATATGTGTGTACGTATGTATGTGCGTTAGTAGGAGAAATTTCTGCAGGACTTTATTGTTAAAATGTTATTGAATATATACATACGAACACGTATACATACATCTGTAGATAAATTTTTGAAATTATTATGAATAATTATCGCCCTTAAAAATAAGGTTAAAAGGAAACAAATATGTATAACGGGATTTACAAACAAATATGCATCTTACAAATATACCTAAGTACACGGCATTTTAAATAATCATTTAGGAACGAAATAATTTATTGGAGAAACGGCATTTAAATAGCACATAAACTGAGCTTCTTTTGATTGCTAAAAGTGTTCTTACACGATATGTTTTTGCATGTGCACAGGCCACTTTTTACATATGGAAATGCCAGCATATCGTGTAAAGGCAAATTAGATTTGTTGTTGTATTGATTAAAAAACCTAAGGTGCGCCTACATACAAACATAAACACAGGCAAAAATATATATTTACGTATGTACATAAGTGCATTGGTAATTATTTTTATGAAGTATTTTTTTAATTATTTACTACCCCACAATAAAAAAATGTCGCTTTCTTTTACAATGGAATTTTTCTGAGCATTGGTCCGGGTCGGGTAGTGGGATGTGGTAGCGTGACCCTCGGAAAGTAACTAGCTCGTGCGGTGTCTCCCTGGAACTTAGAGGACTTGGTATCTATCGTATTATTATAAACGAGTCTACCTTACCAGCCAAGTATTTGTAATTTCAAAACTTTAACACCTGATTTAGTCCTTACAGTACACTAACCCCTAGTACCCGGTGAGTACAAAATTAACCTTCACACACATTTTCAGTATTGACTTATATATGTATATATATATATATATCGTCGATATTTTTGCAAAACCACCCATCGACCAGTTGCAAATTTGAGTGCCGTAAGATAGGCGGTTTTGCAAAAACATCGTCGATATACATATATATTAGACTAATATTAGAAATGACTTCTTCCATATAACCAATGCCAGATCGAAGATTTATTAGGCTTCTTTTGAGTAGCTTTTACGAAAAGTTTCTTTGCCATACTTACTATTTAAAAAGAATTTTAGCCAAAGATTTTTGGTTTTTGGTTAAATAAATCATATATTTCAAAGAAATTTTTATTCATTTTGAAGATAAATCTAATTTGTGGAAAGTGAAGTAAAACGAAGTAAAATGAAGGGAAGGCTTCTAAAGTGAAGTGAAAAACTTCAATTGAAGGGACAGCGGCAGCACTGGTCAGAGCAGCCTGGATGACATTTAGGAAATAATTTTGGTACAGTTTAAAATGCATTACTGGATTCGAACCGAACTTTTAGTTTTCTTTTACTAAAACAGATACCATCAATGCAATGAATTTTTCAGTAAAATACCGTTTTTATTTTTTTATATATAGATAATATGAGAATGACTAAACAAAATTTTTAAATAGTCTCCTCTGGTTCTCTCTGGTGCTCCATATTTGGCTTATGTTTTTATGTTGTTTAGCTCTTTTTTTTACACACTAACACTTACATTTCATATGTCGTCATTTCATATGAATAAAAAAAATATACAAATTTTTAAAATTACACCAATACCATACATTGAATGTTTAATCGAAAATAATGGAAATGCATCCCCAAAAAAATATATATGTAAATCAAAAAGTTTGTATTAGTATTACGTATGTAAATCGTATTAGCAAACGAAAACTATGCAAAGTGAATTGTGATCAAAAATCGGAAACATAAACAAGATATTAGATTGAATAATGAAATATTTGTATTAAACTTTCAATGCATACATATGCATATTGTATTTAAGTATGTACTTAAGTATATGTAAGTACTTCGGTAGAAAAATTACACATAACGATTCGATTAAAATTTTCATTAAAAAAAAATTGAAATCGGAACACATACATATGTATGGCTCATTTTTTTCGTAACAAGAAATAAATTATTGTTATTGTTAATTAATTATTATTGATAAGTCATTATTTAGTTAATATAGGTATGTCAGTCAGTACATATGTATATATGTATGTATGTAGATAAGAAAATCGAGACAAAATGCAAATAAGTAAAGTAAAGCCACGAGCATAGCAGCAAATTCCGTTTATACCAATTAAAGCAATTTTTCAAATAAAAATATAGATTTCGGGCAATTGTTAACTGCGCACAATGGTAGTAAAGCCAAAAAAGCTGGCCAAAAGCCAAACAAACAAAAAAAAAACGAAAGATAGATTTTTTTTTTTTTTTAATTTTAGACACTCATAACCGATAAAGTACTACGCTTTGACGCAGTCACGGCCTTAGAGTAGAAATCCACAAAAGGCTTTTCTAGGTGTCCGCCGTAGGTTTTCAGGCTTTCAGCACTTCATTCAGCTATAAGGCCAGTATGCAGCCCTCAATAAAACATACGTACGTAAGTACTTTTAATTATGTGGAAATTAATTGGAAATACATTTCTTTGGTTGGTTAAATTTACAAAAATGTAGAGGATTCTGCAAAATTTAGCTGAAGAAGGTACTATTGCAATGTTCAAAATAAACCAGCAGCAAAGAGATGAGGAATAAAAAATTAACACAATCTATGTATTTGCGTAGAGTTTCCTAATTATTTAAAGCCCGGTTATGCAAGACTTGGACTTGAATTGGCTTACCTAGAAACTTAGAAACGATTAGTCTGCGGGTCGCCTATTACCATTTCTCTTTGTTTTGATTCTCAGCACTTGGACTTGTACACGTAAATTGCAAACATTTAATTTGATTTGGTTTAAAATCAAATACAAAATTATAATTAAAATAAATGTATTTACGCACTTAAACTGTAATTGTTTTTTATTTTATTTTCAGTCCTTATTTTAAAGTTTGTTTTTCGATTACCAGATGAATTTCATTTATACAAAAAATCGTATTTGTGTAGCAAATTTGGAGGAGTTTTAATAAAAATATGTGAAATATTATATGGCAGCATAATTCTCTCACGGCTTTCTTTGCACTACATAGAAACTTAACTTAGAAATCAAAAATCTATAGTTCTCCAAGTTTTTAAGTGAAGTTGTTTTTTTGTGCAACAAGTCAAGTCTAGGTCCTGCATAACCAAGCTTTTACTCTCAGTGTTCCTCCCTACAGAGGATAGAAGACCGAGAAATCAGTTAAAAATATTCTTATTTATATATACATATCTCATGAAAAAAAAAGACCTTATGAAGGTTCAATAAATTTTCCAAAATATGTTCACCAATACTAAATCTGCCATTTTGATAAAGCTGACGTGGAATCATAATTTGGAACATTCTAGATATAAAATTTTAGGCAGATTTAACGACCTTTTAAATGTTTGCCATATTGTATCCGCCATTTTGGATTTTGAGAAGTTGCTAAAAATGGTAGAACTCTAAGGAAATCTTTATATTTTGGCCAGCTTTTTTAAATTTTCCGACCACTCTGCTTTTGTATCGTTTAAATAAAGGAACAAAATACGTATGTAGGTACATAAAATGCAAAAACAAAAATACTTCACATAACTTACAAATATGTACGGGTTAGGGAGAGGAAAGAGAGAAGTTAGAAGTCGAAAATTCTGTAATTTAAATCAAATTTGGTTATCTTATGTATTATGAAGCTAAATAGCTTACAAATTATAAAAAAATGTATGTGAGTTGTAAAATGAAAAAAAAACCGGATAATTCGATGGAGTACCTAAGGCAAATGTGAAAATGTTTATTAAATGTCCATAATTTATAAAATAAAACAAAAATATTAATCAATAAAGGCAAAGTCAGAAAAATATTAACTACGTTAAAGTCTTTGTTTTAAAGGGATTGGTAAGTAAATATGATGCACTGTAATAAGGCCAGTCTGCCGATAAGTCTGATGCCGCTTTTTCACATCATATTCCGAAGTTAAGCCATTTTCATTCAATGAGTAAATTTTGCTACTTCTCGATGGACAAAAATTTGAACCTTCTGTCTTTCTTTATTCTTTTACTTGCTCAGGCACCTTAACAGTTATAAGCGACATCGAAAAAAATATCATTATCTAATTTGTATGTTTTTGTTTTTATCCTTTTCATCAAACTTAATAATTATTTCATGAGATCCATGTTTGCTCGCAAAATAATACTTACTTGTTGAGTTTTATTTTGCTATCAATAAATAACACCTACTTCTAAAAGAGTCTAATTTTTCGTTTAGGAAATAATGCTTCCTCATAGGAAATGACGCCCGAAAAAACACAACAAAACGACTGGTTTTTGCTGAAAACAGGTCCCAAAATGACAACATTTTGCGCCACCGCCTTTGGCCTGAAAACTAAGGTCAGTGATTTTTAAGTAAAGCTTACGAAATAACTATTATTTTTGAAAAATAAATAAAAGTCAATCAATAAGTTTCATTTTTTGAAAGCTAAATAAAATTCAACAAACAAATGTTATTTTGCGAGCAAACATACACTGAGAAAATGATATGGGCAAAACGCAAGTATTCAAAATAAATTGTAAAACAAGATTTATTAATATAATTTTTGCTCATACAAAGTAACAAATGCAATATTTGTATTTACGACTTTAAGACGAAACATTCGCAAAACAAAAACGAACCTTTTAATATATTCGGACTGAGGAGAACAAACGAAATAAAAAAATAACGCCAAAAATGTGTATTTTCAAACCTAAAATGAAACATTTTAGAACATTTTCCCTACGAATTGTACTTCGACAAAATTTTCAACAAGCAAAGTAAAACGAGACCCTTTTAAAATAAAAACAAATATCTTTTTTAGTCAATTAAATATGAAAAAGATATAAAACTAAAACGTTTTGTATTAAAATATAAAGCTACTTATTATTAAAAACATTTCATTTCTTAGCATTATTTGTCGAAAAAATTTGTGCATATAAAAAATTTACTTTAAGCTTCTATAGTTTTGCTTCTTCAAGAAGGCGCTGAAGTAATCACCTAAATTAAATGGGCTTAGCTGAGACGGTGAACTCCTTTGGTCGAAAAAAAAACTTTGATAAGAGTTACATATACACTTACAAAAACCAATTCTTTTGGGTTATTAAATAATAATTCACATAAGTTTATTTATTGTAAATAACAGTTCGAAGCAAAAGCAGAAGAACAAGCTTGGATGAAATGCAAGAACATCTCAGGTATATAATAGTTGCGTACCAGATGGTTCACGATTTGCAGGTTTTTGCAGGAAGCTGTTCAAGGTGGCAACCTTCCACTAAGGTTTATTAATGTCGTTTTTAAAAGTAAAACGCTAAATACAAATTTTAAAACGAAAATTTCTTTGTAGAGCTCTTGAAATATTTAATTCTTAAATTTTATGAAGATAAAAATTATAAAATTTAGGTTTATTGCACGAATGAATAGATCTGTAGAAGATGGTAATTTTATATACTATATCATATATTTCCGAACACTCCTTCATGATGATTTATTTGAAACAAATTTGCATCCATAACAGTCATAGAAAAACTTACGAATTCGGGATTTGTCTTCTCCTAGTACCAAGTCAGGCGCGTTAAATTGTCGTTTTATTTAATAAATATGATATATCACCATTATCGTAGTTCCGCCAACGGCTCGATTCGAGCGCAGAGTACATAAGCGGTAGAAACGATATTAACACCGCCTTTTGTTGATGAATTGATTTCGTGCTTTTATTTAAAAAGTGATATAAATAAAACCCGTTGAAATTGCGATAGTTATCTTTATTCAACGAATCGAGTTATCTCATAAATGATAAATAATAATGTGAGGGTGGAAAATATGAATTATCCTTTTATGTTCCGTCTGCAACGCTCGCCTAGGTAATGCGTTATGCTATCCAACTAATCCCATTTTCTAAATTCTGCACCTTCAGGCGGTTTAATATCAACTTTATCCTTGGACACTTCTTGCCAATTAGTGCTTAACACAGTACCACCAGACTCAGAGAATGACTTATTCATGGCCTTTTGAACTTCGGGTGATGATGTGGAATAAATTTTCTTAAACAGCCGGTTCAACGCCTCTTCACTCTTTGAGTCCTCTTCCTCAGACTTTTCCACTTCTTTTGCTAAACTGTCCCAGTCTTTTTTGTGAATTGGTGGGGGAGCAGCTGTAGGCGGAGGCAGCTCCTTCTTCTCCAAGCTATCCCATCGTTCGCCAACCTTTTTGCTCAGCGTTATTTCTACCTTAGTTGAGTATGCTTTGTGCGACGATTTACTGACATCAACTGGGCGGTAAAGCTGTAAGTCAAGCTCATAACCATCGGCTGTCATGTGCAGACGCTCCGGCTCAACATCCACTTTGTAGTTCTTGGAGACGGCATCCTTCAGCATGACGGTTACCACCACCTTCGTGTCCGACTGATACCAATCGTGGCGCACAGACATTCTCTTTTAGCGCTGCCCTTATAGGTAAGTATCGCAAAACTGCAAATATGTAAATCTTGTTGTGATGCAAAATATTGCAGATTGTTATTTATTGGGTTTATAAAATACAATGGATTTGACAGCTGTTCCACAGCTGTTTTGATTTTCTAGAACAAGAAACTGTTCGGAAAGCTTTTAGTACATAATTAAATGGAAATGCAGGAATTTTTGTGGAATGCGCTACCGGAAATTAATGGAATGCACTACCGGAAGTACAAGGTGATATGCTTTCTTTGTTTTAGACCAAAACGTACTTTAACGTAAATAGTAATCATAACTTTTATAGGCAACTTTACAAAAATGGAAACAAAATCATAACGAAACTTAAAAAAATTATCAGAATCGGAAGCTTTTTGACACAAAAAGGTTGAAAAGAGAGTAAAAGTTCGTTGTGTTTCAGGTGTCAAGCGGTCGGAGAGGAAAGTTCTTTATGCTCCTTTAGCCAGAGCTGTAAATAGGAAAAAAACAAACAGAGTTGATCACAAATTGAGCCAGATTTCTATTAGTATCACATCGATGTTGAATTTGCGCAACTTTTCTTTTTCCAAATAATGTAAAATAATAAATGAAATCTCGATCGGAAATCACTGAAACGGAGCTAGCAACTGTATAGACCCTGTCACACGGTCAGTATTAATTGACGTGATCCAAGTATCGCGATATTTATAGCATGCAGTATTGATGGATAAAATTAGCTCTGATCCAGTACTCCATGAACTTACAGGATTTTACACGAACTTGCAGGAAGTTGCAGGAAAAATGTTCCTGTACTCCGAAATCCTGTAAATGAGAGCGACTTTTGGAGAGTTGTGTAGAGAATGAAGTTGCAAGATTTTACCCGAACTTTTTCTTCTGGTAAAATCACGAAAAGTGTCAAGCAATCACTGGTTGACGTTTTTACAAGAAAAATGGTTTGTTTGTTCCCGTACTTTTTGTTGTTACTCACATTTTACTCTCACTTCAGAGAGTAATTTTACTGTTTGACAGTTTTACAGGATTTTTCACGAAAAGTATTGGATCAGAGCTATTTTGAAGTCTATATCGCGGATCGCAATACCGTCAATAAATATTGAACGTGTAGCACTTTCAAAACGTGATCCAACATTTCGTCAGTACATCTTTTACTCTCATAAAGCGAACATCAGCTCTGCCTTCGCTCTCGGGGCTTAAAATCTTTCAAAACAAATTTTAATTAACATTGGAAATTTTAAATAATTGTAGAATGCATTATCTGTAACTTATACGTACAAAATAAAAATATTTTCTTGCGTCATAATAAGCATTCAGCACAAAAATTATGCAAATACTGACGCGATAAATATTGAACATGTAGTATTCGTGCGCGATCCATCAATTCATCAATATTGATCGCGATCCAAACATCGTGATAATGACTGACCGTGTGACAGAGCCCTTAGAAATTTTGCGATATGCATCGCGATCCATCAATATTGCATGCTACACCGTCACTAAATATCGCGATACTTGGATCACGTCAATAAATACTGACCGTGTGACAGGGCCCAACGAGTGAAAACCATCGATAGTGCTTACAAAACCACCAATGTTTTTGATAGTCAAAAACCATCGATACTATCGATAGTGCAATCGATAGTTTTCCAGCTGTGGACCGGCTGGCAAAGCGGATTCCGCAAACAACAAATTTCAGCGAATTGCGCCAAGATCTGGGAAGATGGCGCGGAAAATAGCTTCAGTTTCAAAAACTGTCATTTCGAAGTTGGTCGCTGAACAGAAAAGGGGTCTGTGATTTCAAACAATTTGCTGTAAACAAAAAGTTGGTAGTGTAGTGACTTTGCTTTCTATTTCTATAACAATTATTGATTTTTTTCTTTGTAATAGATGTCTGCCGAAGCACTGAAGAAAAAATTGGAGGAAACCGAATTACCCGAACCAAAGAAAATGAAGGTTGATTCAAAGTGCGTGTTGCGGTTCGCAAAGCTGACTGAACATGCTTTAGAACCAGTGCGTGGGTCGGCGCGCGCGGCTGGTCTAGACCTACGCAGTGCCTATGATCTGCTGGTGCCAGCACGCGGTAAGGCAATTGTGAAAACTGATTTACAAGTACAAGTGCCTGAGGGATCTTACGGCCGGGTCGCTCCACGTTCGGGACTGGCTGTTAAGAACTTCATAGATGTTGGTGCCGGTGTCGTAGACGAGGACTACCGTGGAAACTTGGGCGTTGTGCTTTTCAATCATTCAGATGCTGACTTCGAGGTGAAACGTGGCGATCGCATTGCACAATTTATTTGTGAGCGCATTTTCTATCCTGAACTGGAGGAAGTAGATAAACTTGATGCTACTGAACGTGGAACTGGTGGTTTCGGTTCGACTGGAATAAAGGAGGTATCTGCCAAAAATGGTAATGGCGCCGCTCCAATGGAAGCTGAGGATGGGAAACCTTCAGAAGATACTTCGAAAGAGCCTGAATCTAAAGTTGATAGTGTCGAAGTTGCAGAAAGTAAAGAAGTTGCCAAAGAATCTACAACCAATGAAAAGGTGTCGGAAGTTGCCAATGGAAGTACCGCTGTTGCCACTGCCTAAACGTGATGGATGTCCTTATTTGTCTCAGTCCAAAAGTCATTATTAGTTCGTAAGAAACGCGTTGTTCCATTCATTAAAATTCATACCCATGTACTTAGCCGTAAAAATGTGCTTTCATTGTCGAACTAGTTTTATACATAAGTTGGAAATTCCCGAAATGCATGAGGGTATGTTTTCAAAGTTGTTTGTTTTATTGTATGGTAGATGCCAAGATAAAAACTTTCAGGCAAACTTATAAATGCATAATAAGGCGAGGCGAGAGTACAAATGTTGCCAAAGTCCAGTGCAAATATGCAGGGCTTAGGCGTTGGTTGATGCCGTGTAAAAGCCTCTAGTGACTCGATTTATGTTTGGTTGTTTGGACCATCTAGCCAATTTCTGGACTTGTGCTCAGTCCAATCGGCAAATTATGAAAATGTTTGGTACATTGTAACGCCAAGTGTGCGCAACCACGGTTAGATGCCAGTTTTCAACGAGGTTGTGGAAGTTTGCATTTACTTCTAGTGCGGTTTAGACAAAAAAAGGCAAGCTTTGTATTTTGATATTTAGGAATTCACACATCCATTATTGAAGAATTTTAGAAGGAATTCATATATGTTGTTTATTTATTTATTTATTTATTTAATCAAATGGAATAAATCCTTACTGACTATAAAACAAGAGAGCTTATATACTACCTAAAATAATTAAGTAGGACAAAACGAACTGTTCCAAATGAGAGAGACGGGTCATATTCAGAGAGCTCATTTAGCTCAGAAAGGGTTCTGAACAAAGGCGAGAATTTTACATAGTTAGTTTTAGGAAATCCCAGGTAGAATAAAGAAACACGCCGCAGATTATGAGACGGGACGTTTAATGCTAACTTATCCAGAAGATTAGGACAATCGACTGTGCCCTCCAATATTTTGGCCACAAAAGAGGCTGCTA